TCTAGATTATGTATTGTTTCTATATAAATTGCAAAAAATATGCCATCATGTTTTTTATGGGGGAAAAAGGGAAAGCATCCTTTAAGAACTTAAAAGATTTGATTGTATCATAGATATCCTGATAACAAAATAAATAACATTTTAGAGACAAAACAATAGAAATAAAACATTTATATATTTATGATTGTTTAAAAATATAACCTATTGGAAGTACTGACATTTTTCATACATAATTGTTTGATATAAATGTGGTTAATGAAATATAATTATAAAACAAATATTGTTTTGTAGAAAAAGAAGTCTCTCTCTCTCTCTCTCTTTCTCTCTCTCTCTCTATATATATATATATATAAAATAGAAAAAAAAACTTTTAATGTAATGGTGAAGAATCAATAATGAGTCTAAAGAGCAGCTTTGGGGAGCAGGATAAGAATTTATGAATTTATTTTTGAAGCGTGCAAATGAATCTCAATTAGTGAGTTATTTCCTGCACCAAACGAGACGGTACGGTGACCATCTATAACCTGAAAGAACTCCATGACTCCATTTCACTGTGATGAATGAAGTTGCAGGAATCATTTTCAGTTTAGGATAATTATTCATCCTGTCAGCCTTGTGTATAAAAATCCTGAATCCATCACAAAACCACATTTGTCTAATAGGAATCTTTGTCAATGACTGTAAAATCACATCACTACAAAATCCTCCTGCTGTTTACCACAGAATAACAAAACCACGGATCATTTTAACATCAGTCCTTCAAACACTCGCAAACCCTCATATCTTCATTCGCTCTCACGAATAAACACAAAGCAATCCCCAAAGCTTTCCTTTCAAGTACAAAAATGCCAAGCAAGCTGTCATAAGCAGCCAGCCTTTTTCTCTGAGTCTGAAAGCGAAGGGTTTTACTTATTCATGTTCTGCTTTCTCAGACTCAGAGCTGCCGCTAGCCATGCCTCATCTATGTTGCATGATGGGAGTATTTATAGCTAAAGTCTTTTAGCCACCATTGGTCTAATCTCATGGCAACTGATTTCCAGACATCATCACAATGATGCATATATAACTTTTTATCAGACAGACATTAAATTCCCATTACATTCAGTCTGCAACGGCTTCACCGCAGTAAAATGACCCGTTTCATGCAAGTCAACACATTGAAACATTGTCTTTTTTAATGAATATTATTACAGGATTACTAAAAACAACACTGTGAGATTACAGTAAGATTTACTAGCAGCAGCCCACTTTTGCACTTTAGGCCGGATTTCTACGAGGCACAATTATTGCCATTATATATGGGAGACATGTTGCTGCTGGCCGGGTTTCATCGCTTCTTATTCAGCAGTTTTAAAAGGGCAACAGCAGATTGAAATAATCTCATTTTCCCCAGCCTGAGGGATTCAAACTGAGCTACATGCCACAGCAGGAGAGAGAGGGAGTGAGCTTTGTTTAAATGCCCAAATCTCAGCAGTCACACTTTGAGGTACTACACACAGATGGCTGCTCAAAGCATATGACAGCCACAATTACACTACTACACACTGCCAATATGCAAACACTTTAACCTTTGCCTTGATGCTCATGTAGGCAATGCTAGTTCGAGTCTGGCTCACATTATTTCTTGATTCTTTCTCACTGTTGCCTGTGCTCTCTTTAGGGTCAATCAAAAATGGCTAAAATAATTTTGTTACGCGCCGCGTAAACATAAAACCATGTCCGCATTTGTGATCGGAGAAACGACAAACAACAAGCGCTACTCTACACTGCTTAAAACTCGCGTTTGAATCATCAGTGGCAAATTCTTTAAATATAAAAAATGTACTTACAGGCTGTGAGTCAGAAGCGCCAGACTGTCCTTGCAAAGTTGGAACTGCCCCACTTTATTGCCTTTGAGCACAGACCCATTGTAGGCTACTCTGCAGGTTCAGGAAACAGTCCTACATAAAATGTGTCACACAGCGTCACACACTGTGGATTTTATAAAGAATATCTCTTTGGATTTGAGACTCTAGTCTTTGCAACTTTACAGATCTTCTTTATGCACCAAGAGCTTGTAACACTCCAAAGAGAAAGGAAAAAATGAAATCGCATCATATGACCCCTTTAAATACATTAAAATGTTAAAAACAGAATATTATCACATAGCTTAGTCTTGTTTTTATTAATTTACAGTATTATTCAGATATCTGCAGCAGGAACCAAAGTGTTGACTTTATCTGTAGATTATAAGTGCATTGCAGGAAAGAGTCAGAATCGAACTTGGAACGACATTAAGCAGCGACTTTAATGAGTCCCTCTGGAACCTTCTGCTCTCTCCACCCTAACATCACATCGCACAGAGAACAAGTGCACAGGGATCATGTTTATCTTGCCAATTAGAGCAGGTAATTGGTCAGGGAGTCAGGGGTCGGTGAAATACTAACCATAAAACACAGGTTCTGACTACTAAAGTGATTCAGTAATCATTCACAGCAATAAAATATATGAACTGCTACTAAAATAAAGAGTGAAAGCTATCAGAATTGGAGAGAAAGAGAAAGAGAAATTTCTCAATGCCAATCTAAAGTCGCAGGGGCTGTGAACTGACAGTTTTCCTCAATCACATCCCCTCTGGACAGGTAGGGTTCATTAGTCTAGGGACTGAGGTTCAGTCTGGGGACCTTCAGCACAGCTGATCCTTATCCACAGAATGACTGACTGTTACCGGAGGCAAGACCAAAATACAATGCCTCCCTAGGCTCGATATTTTGCCAGTTTACTGGATTTTTGGTTGTGAAAAACATTTGACACCAATGGGAAATGGAAACAGCTTGAATGCCAAGAATTCCAAACGAAGCAGCAGGTAGTCCAAGGACAGAACTACAGTGACCGAGAGAACTCAACGTGCTGCAACTTCAGAAAACACATGCAAATAGAAAAAGCACCAGCAAATTAAGAAAACATCTTCATCAGTTTGACAGCACATGTGCTGCAAATACTCGCAACACAATCAAATACAAAAACACGCTGCAAATGCTCACAAAACAAACAAATAAAGAAACGCGCTGCAAATAC